CTCATTAAATGTTCTGCTGCTGAACATATTTTCAAAACATTGTTGTAGGAGCCTCCAACAACTTAGAACCAGGAAATGATCTGTTCAAATCTGCATTCCAAAAAGATAACTCTGCATGCCCCAAAATATTAACTTTTGGGTATTTGTCCTAAACTGCATTAAAATTGGCAAACATTTTGTCTTAATTTCATAATAAAACCATTGTCCACCAGGCATGGTGACACATACCTGTAATTCCAGTGTCTTGGGAGGCTGAAGCAGGAGGATCACAAATGTGAGGCTAGCTTCTGCAACTTAGTGAGACCTTGTCTCAAAATAAAAAGGACTGGAGATAACCATTCCTGGGTTCAAACCCCAGTACTGCAAAAGATAAAAAACAGCAATTGTTCTACACTGAGCAGTCTGTAAAATGAACATATGTTAAAGATTACAAATTTGGCAGAGTAGGGAATGGAGACAGAAAAAAAATGAAAGAAATATAGCATGTCAGACTCTGAATACTTCTGCTTCATTTCTTATTCCTAAGTGTAAGTAAATCTCATTTTAGCATGAACACTGCATCATACCTACCAGCTTTCTCCTACTTAAAGAAAACAACCTTACATGAGATTTTTTAAAAAGTCCTTTCCTTAGAGTCACTGATAGAACATTTGAAAAACACCAGAAATTTCAGTAAAAGGTATTAACATGGGCCCAGCTATGTAATCTATAGAATTATATATTTTTGAGTACCCCCAAAATAGAGTTCTTTTGCTACATTGGCTGCTAGTACTGTATCTGCTGAAATGTGAAATAATCCAATAAGATAACTCTTATTAAATAATGTGAGTAGATTCTGCAGAGGTCTTCAGATATTACAGATAAAATCCTATTTAATAAAGAGTGACTTTGAAGGAGCTTATGAGGTTGGGCATGTAATCCTCTTTGAATAAAATATACCTAGTTTTCTGAAATTTTAATTGTGTAAGACAGTCACACTTGGGCCATAGATGACTGTTTATTTATTTTACAGTTTGTAACTCATCGGCACTTAATATAAATTGCCAAATAATGTAAATTTTCCTCATTAATGCTATATTAGTTCATCCAGAGAGTGAAATGTTAAAATTATGATGAACTGAAAGCATACAAATTTCCTTCAATGCCTCACATTTTATAAGGTTTTGTTGTGTTAACATTTCAGATCATATTGGATCTTAAGAGCTGATGAAACTAATAACATTTCAGAGCCCTACATGTACAGTCTGATTATTGGAGCGCACTGTGTCTGGGTTAATGTTTAACAGTGGCTGTCCTCTTGATTCACTTAGGGAGTTTTAAGATGGCAATTTTATTCTTTTACTGGACTGGCCTTATTGCACTATTAATTAAGAGCTGCTTAAAAATAGCCTTCGGAATAGGGCCAGGGAAGGGAAAGCCTTTAGAACAATGGAAATACAGTATTGAATTTATTGTCAGGGCTGCTGTAACTGCTTTCACCCAGGTGAGATTAATGAGTGTCAAAGTCAATGTTGCTTTCTGGGGCAAGCACTACTACTTTTTTTTTTTTCTTTTGTGGTAATGAGGAATGAATCCAGGAGTGCTCTACCACTGAGCTACATCCCAAGTTCTTTTTATTCTTACTTTTGTTTTGACACATGGTCTTACTAAGTTGCTTGAGGCTGGCCTTGAATTTGTGATCCTCCTGCCTTAGACTTCTGAGTCTCTGGGATTATATGTGCCTCACCACACCCTACAAGAGAGTATTACTACTAAGAAATAACTCATTTTATTGATTGTACTCTGAGGTTTCAAAGTGTATGGGTGCTATTAAAGAACTGACCTTGTATGGTAAGTAATTATGCAATTTAGTTTATCCATGTATTTCTTCTTTTCTTCCATCATTTCTTCCTTTTTGTAGTGTTGGAGATTGAACCCAAGGCCTCATGCACACTGAGCACACACTCTACCACTGAGCTGCATCCCCATCCCAAAAATACTTTTTGTTTTGAAATGAGGCCTGTCCAGGCTGGCTTCCAACTCCTGGGCTCAAAGCAATCCTCCTACCCAGCCTCTTGAGTAGCTAGGACTATAGATATATAAAACTGCACCTGACTTCACATTATTCTTTTCTTTTTGCAGTACTGGGGATTGAACCCAGGGATACTCTACCACTGAACTACAACTCCAGCCTGTATAATTTTATTTTATTTTATTTTATTTTTAAATTTTGAGACATGGTCTCACTAAGTTACCAAGGCTGCTCTCCATCTTGTGATCCTCCTGCCTCAGCCTCCCAAATTGCTGGGATTACAGGAGTGTGCCATGGCTCCCAGCTTCACATTTTTCTTTAATTATGATACGTCTATAGCAACTAAGATAGGAAACATGTGTACACTTTAAATGGTAATTAAAAGTAATCACTCAGGTGACCACTACCTGGATGAAGAAAAATGACCAGCATTCCAAAATTCCTACCCTTACCATGTGCTCCTCCCAGATGGCAACCTCTGAGTAAATCCAACCTTTCATTTTGTCATATTCTTCCTTCTCTCTATAATGTAATCAATGGATCCTAAAATGATATATTTTAGGTTTGCCTGTTTTTGAACTTACAGGTATAGACTGATAGTGTTGTGTGCTCCTTGCTTCTGGAACCTTCCACTCAGCATTGAGTTTGTAAGGTTTTATTCATGTTATATCTACCCAGTGCATTTTTAAAACCCCTTTTCTCTGTTGTCTCCCTCCTTTTTTTTTTTTTTTTAGTTAGGACCCCTGTAACTGTAAATGATTTGGGACTTTCTGCTAAATGATTGGTCTGAAGGATAAAACTTTGTCTGGACCCCAGTTTTCTGAGCTGACCTGACTGCCCCAAGTTTGATGGCATTGGTTTAGATGAGACTACATCTTTAAGGCTTCCGTGCTCGGTTAAAAATCTTCCTTTCTCCAAGGCTGGTCCAAGGGTCTGGTCACGTGATCCCAACAGTGACATCACACTCTGACCGCCGGGGAGCACTGGTGGCTCTTTAGGTGGCGTTTGTTGCTGTGAAAGGCGGAGAGTGCAGCAAGTGCCCTTCTGAAGCGCCTGGGAGCCAGCGGCGCTCCTTCTGTAAAAGCGCCTCAACCTAAATGACTAAATGCAGGCTGCCAAGGTTATTTCTTCCTTGAGGCAGAAAAAAAGAGAACTGTGATTGAAGGTAAGCAGACTTGAGCCTGACTCAGGACTGAAGCATGCCCCCGGGAGCAGGGGATCTGGAGAATCGCAAGCAGTCTGTAGTAGGATTCTAATCACTGCCTGCCCTTTGCGAGGGGCCTGACAATTGCGTCTCTAACAGGAGACCGACTACGACAAAGGAGGATGATGCGGTGGTGCTCATGTTACCTAGTGATGTAATAGGATTCTTTCTTTCCTGCCAGGACGCTGTTGCAGATCTTCATTTTGCTTTAAGATCCTTAAAGCTGGGGGACTCTTTTGATATATATAGGGAGAGAGAGAGAGAGAGAGAGAGAGAGAGAGAGAGAGAGAGAGAGAGAGAGAGAGAGAGAGAGAAACATTAGATAGCTTTCAGATGCTTTTAAAAATCAGTTTCACAAAATCCTTTCTTTCTTTCTCCCCCCCCTTTTTTTTCTTCCTGAAAGAACTCTCAAGCCAGAGAAAATTCAAGGGAAGCCTTAAGCTGCTTTTAAAAGTCAATTTTTGGCTGTCTGGAGTCCTGTGTTCGCGTCAGCATTTGACTTAGGAATTGAAACATTTTAGTCCCCCTCTCCCCCATATGCACTTTATTCTCTTTCTGCCCTTATTTCCTAGCTGGCTTTCCTCTCCAAACTCTCAAACAACACACCAGCTTTCATCTTTATCAGCATGACACTGACATGATAGGAAGTGCTGGGCTGGTGATTCAGCGCCATCCATTTTACAGCCAGGTACCAGTGAAGATATGGAAAGGACTTTGCTTTGGGGTTTTAAGATTAACTTGTTCACCTCCTGTGCCACCTCCCTGTCCTACCTGCTTCCTCCAGATGCTATGAACTCTGCTGAGCTTTTCCTTTCAAATGTGTACGTTGCTTGTGTAAAGTGTGCTGAATTAGTCATTCAGCAGAATTACAGTTGGTAAAACACATACAGCTTGGCGTATTCATTCAAACTTACCCCATGAGCGTGCTGAAGTTGTCTGGTAGGAGTTTCTAGTGAAAGTGGGCATGCCAGTAGGGGGGAGGGAGTCAGTGGCGGCCCACTCGGGCCTTCTCTGCAGAAGAAGTCATTACCAAACAGTTTGGATGAAACCTTGTCCTGCCAAGGTTGTCCCTGCTGCAAATATGAGCTTTGGCTCAGTGCATTAAATGATGGCATTACTCTGCATTTTTCCTTCCTGTGTGCAATTTGCATAAATTCCTCAATACTGTTTCACATTTTGTGTTTAATAGCTAAATATTGTTTCATCAGATGATTCTGCCAAAATATTTTGAACAAGTACGTTAAGCAGTACTAACCATGTGTGAGTACAACTGTTTAGATACTTCTCCCTCGTCCCTGCCATCCATCAAATGCATGCATCTTGTTTCAGCTGATATTTATTGAGTATCAGGAATGTGTCAGGCACTGTGGAGAAGACAATGATGAATCAGATACGGGACTACCAGCTTTTAATCTAGAAAGGAAGATAAAAAATACACATAAGTAATTGTGATGGAAATGCTGAAAGTGAAGCAAGTAAAGGACCATGAGAGATGGGCAAATGGGTGTTATTTTTCTAATTGAAAGATCAGAGAAGGACATCTTATCACTGAGCCATGCACTGTTCTCTAAATCTCTACTTGGAAATCTTCGACTTTCTGACATGTTAGAGTTTCTATGAGCCCATTATATTAGGAATCAAAGTCTTCTGCCTATTGAAGGGAAATTTTTACATTCCAGGTAGCTTAACTCTTGAAGAGGCTTACATGCTTTCTTTGGAGTCCCTGGTTAGGCAAAAGCCATCTCATAGGATTGAATTACTGCCTTATAATTGTAAAATAGTGCTTGATGTGATATGTCTGCAAAGACCTTTGACCCTTTTGTCTGTCTTCCATAAACTGAAGTAACTACACTGCTCCAAACTCCTTCCTGTTTTTTCTGTAAATCCTTTCTCATTGCAGATCAACTCCTGTCATTACTCTCTTTGTACTATTGCTCTCATCTGTCCCTTTCCATTCACACTGCCTTTAGTTACTCATCAAATGGGCCTAGATCACAAAACCTCTGAATGTGATGGACATACCTACCAGGTAAGGATATTGCACACTCTAACTGTAGTCATCTGATAGTTTAAAGGCTCACCTGTTGGAGCTGAGAAAAGAGGTGTTAAAAATGAAGTAAAATGTCTGTTTCCCATTCAATATAGGGAACAAGTCATACAATGGTGGAGGAATAGGTTCTTCAAATAGGATCATGGACTTCTTGGAGGAGCCAATACCAGGTGTAGGTACCTATGATGATTTCAACACAATTGATTGGGTGAGAGAGAAGTCTCGAGACCGGGATAGACACCGAGAGGTAAGACAAAGGATGGTACGTGAGTGTTAGGAAATACTGGGGGGAAGTGTTAGAAAATACTTTTTATTTTTTTTTCCTTTCTTCAGTCCTGGATGTGACTGAATTTGATATCTATTATCAATGTAGGGTTTAATTTTTAACTTATTTTGAAAGACATCTTGAATATTATTTTTATCCTAGATGCTTTACAAAATTGTATTTATTAATGATTTGTCTTCCTAAAATAAGGGATTAAAAATGGTCCTTACAGCCCTGGAATGGGTATAAGTGCCTTTGAAGAGGTGAAAACAATCTTTAAAGAGGGTGGCAAAATTAAAGTCAAAGATCTTCCTCCCCCTTCTCATCTCCCTTTTGCGGGTTTTTCCTTGAAGCAAGAATTTTAAAACTAAAATAAGTTAGTGGGCTCCTTTTAAAGGAATAAAAGAAAAAAATTCTCATAGCCCTGGTGTTTACTGAATCATAGGGGATGAATTCCTTATGATTATAGCTCTTGTACAATCATAAAACTCAAATAAATTCATGTATTCAACTCATACCACAAGATCAATCAGTTCAGATTAAGGACATTAATTTAATGCAATAGGTAATCGATGGTAATTAGGGTTATGGCAGAGGTTCTTTTGAATTTGGCAAGAGAATTTCCACACTTTTCTCTTTACAAAGTATTGTGGAAAACTCTCAGAGCAATCTGCCAAGGTCATTTGCCTTTAATTTGTTGCTGTGTATCATTTAACTTAGGGAATCCAAATTTCTAGTTTGCATAAGGGCCACAATGGAGAGCTCATTAAAAATAGTAGGTGTCAGGGCTGGAGCTATAGCTCAGTGGTAGGGCACTTGCCTCACAGTTGTGAGACCCTGGATTCGATCCTCAGCATCACATAAAAATAAATTTAAAAATAAATAAACAAATAAGTAAAGGGATTGTGTCCATCTACAACTAAAAAACTTAAAAAAATAGTAAGTGTCCAACCTTAGCCCAACAATTGTCAGTAGGTGATCCCCTGGTAAGTCATTTCTTTAGACCACAGTAGTAGTAGCATTTTTAATGTTTTTGTTTTGTTTTGTTTTGTTTTAGTTGTAGAGGGACACATTTGTTTATTTTTATGTGGTACTAAGGGATAAACCCAGTGCTTCACACATGCTAGGCAAGTTCTCTACTATTGAACCACCACCCCAGCCCAGTAGTAGTATTTTTTCCTTTACTATTTCTACTTTGACTCAAATTAAAAATGTGATTGTTCAGCTGACCCCATTCTCTCCTGAATTCACAATTTCCTCCTTTCAGAGCCAAGCAAATCTCTTGAGCGGTCAGGTGGAAATCTTTCTGTCTTTCTTTCTTTCAATGCTGGGGATGGAACCCAGGGCCTGGTAAATGCTAGGCAAGTGCTCCACTACTGAGCCACACCCCCAGCCTTTGCTGTTCATTCTTAAGCCCTTTCCCAGCTCTTGATTGATTTTCTCAGGACCACCTGAACCCCTGGGAGTCAGGTTGTTCTGGATACAGGCTTTGAGAAATTGCTTCTTAATCTGTGGAATTGTGGTAATTCTACTGAGTTATCACAACTCAAAAGGGTGATCATATAAGGCATTATGTGTTTTTCCTAAGATTTCTGGAGTATACTCCATAATCTTTTTATCATATCAATTAATCAGGCAGACTTTAGAACTGAGAATCTTGCTGGCTTTAGAATTTCTGCTTTCAGAGTTCAGTTTGTCATCAGTTGCATATTCACATTATTCAAATTGTGAGAGTCACCTGTGATATGACAAGAGCATATTTCTCCTATTAATGGTTGCATCTGAGATAAATGATAACAATTAGGAATCCAAAACTGAAGTGCATTTATCACATGGTCTATGGGAACATTTTTCCCCCTAGCATTAATGATTCGTTATCAGAAAGGAAATAATGTCACAGGGAAAAAAAATGTAACCTCATCTATTTTCAGCACTGATATTGGAAACAGTGTCATAGATCAAAATGCATTTTTAAATTCCTTTTGAAATTTTCAGCATATTGTGATGTTGTAGGTGAAGGTAGGACAGCTAAATCAACTACTTCCGGTCTAATAAATAATGGTACAGAAAAGGGACAAGTACCCATGACAAAACTGGCAGAATGTTGGTTTTAAAAATATGGACACTGAAAGGTTAAATTGACCAGGCTGGAAATAAAAGGTAAAACTTTCCTTATCTTCTGATAGCCTTAGCTTGTGCCTTCAGGTTTCTAAAAAAATGAAAGAAACACATCTCTGGTATCACTAAGTATCTGTGATTAATATAAAATTAGGGGTTTGGGGGATTGGGTGTTAGAACTTGCCTAACCTGAAACATGGCTCTATGAAATAAACCACAGATTGTACTTTCATCATTCACATAAGTCTCTGTTTATATTTCGAGACAAACTATTTTCTGGTTTCAAGTGACTGTCCTTGGGATAGCTGATGTCCAAGACAGAAAGCGATCCCTACAATAAGTAAAAGATTGACATTCTAAGAAATTACTGACTAAATAGGGAAGCCTTAGATAAGGTACTTGTGAGCAACACAGTACTACAGATGAAGGTAGAGTACAGGAAACCTCAAAGTTCTTGGTGAAATCCGTTCAGCTAAAGATTGTATAAGAAGTAATTTTCCATGGGTCTCTATTCCCAGGTGATTATCATTGTATTTCCTTACTGAGCAATTTTGAGGTGAAGGAAGAGTGTGTATAGCATATACCAATAGTTTTTTTTTTTTCATTTTCTCTTAGATCACCAATAAAAGCAAAGAGTCAACATGGGCCTTAATTCACAGTGTGAGTGATGCATTTTCTGGCTGGTTGTTGATGCTCCTTATTGGACTTTTATCAGGTATGGTCAACTATGGTAGTTTTCAAAACAAATCTCTGAAAATTGTGTTGTGCCCCTCCCCCAAGTTATGAACTGGCCTGTATGCTGTTTTTCTACCTGAAATGAATCTCCTACCTTAAACAAATGAAGAACTGCATTTAAACATCTTTTGTCTGTTATAACATACCATTTTCATTTTTGGGGGGTGGGTACCAGGGATTGAACTCAGGGGCACTCAACCAGCCCTATTGTGTATTTTGAGACAGAGTCTCACTGAGTTGCTTAGTACCTCGCTAAATTGCTGAGGCTAGCTTTGAATTCATGATCCTCCTGCCTCAGCCTCCCAAGCAGCTGACATTACAGGTGTGCACCACCGGGCCTGGCCCATTTTCACTTTAAGGTGATGTTCACCCTGCATTTTAGTACTTCTCTTGAGGAAGAGCCCTTCTGTTAGAGATCATCAGGCATTTTTTTTTTGTTTTGTTTTTGACACATATATTCCAATTTTTATTTTAAAACACAGTTTTTAAAAAAGTATTCTGAATGGAATTTAGGAGAGCAGATGCATACAAGAATTCCCTGAGACAGCTGTTTCTTGAACTTTTGTCTACTCTTTCATTTGGTGGTATATAAAGGCATGTGACGTAGTCCATTCTCTCAAGGAATTTCTCATTGTATTCTTTCATGGTGGCTGAGCAGTGAGATGGTACCACCTCTTTCTTTGTTTTATTTATTTATACCACCTTTTTCTATTAGCTCCATCAGCTTCCTTTACCACTCAAAATAATAGAGGCTAAGTATCCCTTATCCAAAATACTTGCAGACAGAAGTAGTTCAGATTTTTGGGGGGGTTTTGGAATATTTTCATATACATAATAAGATATTTGGAGGAAGAGACCCAAATCTAAACTTGAAATTTATTTATTTTATTTTATGTTTTGTTGTGCTGGGAATGGAACATATAGCCTTCCTTGTACTTGCAACTCTTGCACTCTAACAAGGAACTATATTCCAAGTCTCCATTTATGTTTTATATATACCTTGCACACATAGCTGGAAGGTAATTTTATACAGTATTTTTAGACCATATGAATTTTGATTATGGTCCATCTTCAGAGGTCAGATGTGGAATTTTCCATTTTTGATGATATGTTGGAGTTCAGAAAGTTCTGGATTGTGGAGCTTTCCAGATTAGGGATTCTTAAACTGTATACAGTCTAAGTAAAACTAGTATATATGATATGCAAATATAGCTTTAAAGCAAGTTCTCAAATAGGCTTCTATTATGGGGGAAGCAGAGAGCCAAGGATGCCAGGCAGAGATGCCAAAAGGTATGTACTTATAGCATTAAATGATGCCAGGTACAATGACACATACCTGTAATCTCAGGCACTTGGGAGGATGAGGTAGGAGGATCACAGTCCAAGGCCAGCCTCAGCAATTTATCAAGGCTCTAGGAAACTTCGCAAGATCCTGTCTCAGAAAAAAAAAAAAGTGATGGGGATGTGACTCAGAAGTAGAGAACCGTAGGCTCAATCCCAAATACCAGAAAATAAATTGAAAATAAAAGATGGGGCCTAGGTGTATCTAGAATCTTAGACTGAAATAGAAATTATGTGTGTCCAGGCAAGGTGGCACATGTCTGTAATCACAGAGGCTCAGGAGACTGAGGCAGGAGGATCACAAGTTCAAAGCCAGCCTCAGCAACTTAGCAAGTCCCTAAGCAACTTAGAGGGACCTGTCTCAAAATTAAAAAAAAAAAAAAAAAGGACTGGGGAAATGGCTTTGTGGTTAAATGACTCTAAGTTCAATCCCTGGTACAGAAAAAAGAAAAAAAAAAATAGAAGAAGAAATTAGGTGGAAAAGCTAGAGGAGATGGTATTAGAGGGTAGGTAACAGTCCAGGATCTAGTTTCAGGTAGCTAGAGATTGAATTTCAGTCCCACTACATTTTTGGTGGCTTTGGATAAGTTTCTTATTAACCCCTATAAGCTTTAGTTTACTGACCTGTCAAATGGAGATAATAACAGTACCTACATTAAGAGTTTCTGTGAGGATTAAATAGGATATGGCACTTAACACAGTGCCCAGTTGTTAATAATGCTGCTGTTACCAAGGGATAATGATTCATGAGCCACAAAGTAGAAAATGGCTACTTTAAATTTTTAAAAATGGCTTATATCCATAGCTAGATTTTTATCTAGGATAGGGGTCGGAAAAACTTTTTCTATAAAGGGGCCAGCTAATAAATATTTTAGCACCTATTCCACTCTGCTGATGTGACATGAAAGCAGCCATAGATCATAGGTGAACAAATGAGCTTGGCTGCCACCAGGACGTTTTTATTTACAAATAAAGGATTGGCCCTTGGGAAGTAGTTTGCAAACCCATGGTCTAGGATGTTAACTCTGCTCTTTTTGACTCATACAGGGTGAGAGAGCATGGTGAGTTTGGAATTGGGTGGTCTGTGATGCAAAATATTGCAGAGAGCTAAAGAGAAGGAAGATGACGGGAAAAGGATATACAGCCTAGAAGTTAGGAGCACATCAATGACCTTGAAAAATCACCTCAGATATATTGAAAGAGCCATATTTCAAGGCACAGAAGCTAGTGTAGAGGTTTAGGTAGTCATTGGGGAAAAAAGGAGGGGCAAAATCTTAAAATGATAACAAGGAGAAGGGATAGCATTTTATTCTTTGGCGCAGGGGAAACCTAATAAAATTTGTAACCAGCAAAGAAAGGGCTGATTGAGAGAAGGAGGAGGACAGGTAGAAATAAAAGGAAGGATAAGATGGTGGGTAATAGCATTGGGTAAAATAAGACACGCACACATGAAATAACCAGAGAATAAGTCAAACTATATAACATCTTGTTAATTTTCTAAGTCCAGGCAGACTCACTATGACTCAATATGAATTAGAAAGAAGTGAAGGCTGGAGGGTGGGGTAGCCAAAAGTAGGTGTCAAACAACATGCTAGATTTGACTAGGGTATTCAAGGATGTAAATAGCCTGTGCTAACACTTTTAGCACCTACCAAAACACACACATGACATGGCCTCTTGCCTGGTGGAATGTAGGCGTCATATCCTCCACTTTTTAATGTATTTCTTGTCACTAGGTGGTCAGTGACTATTTTTCTTTCCCTCATACACAAGGGTATTTTGTTTTTAAGCACTGGAGAGCAACAATAGAAGCAGTGTGTCTGAGTGCAAGAACAGTCTGGGAATTCAGGGGCTGTGAATTTTATGATGTCTTTACTATTTCCCTAAAGCATGACTTTGGATCATTTAATTTCTCTATGCCAGAGTTTCTTCATCTGGAAGACAGAAATGAAGAGAAGGCCAGGATCTAAAGCACTATAACTATCTTAACCCTATCAGTGGACTAGCTATAATACATATGTCCCCAGTTCACTCTTCATTTTCTTAGTTTTCTTTTGGAAGAATGTTCCATGTATAATAGCATTTATTCCTCCTCACTAAGAAAAATTCAGAATGTTCATGTCTGAGGTTCAGAAGGCTTCAATGTATCTAATTTTCCATGCACATCCTAGTTTGTGCTTTTATAAATGCAGTTCCCTTAGCCTAGAATGCCTTCCTGCCATTGCTCTAGTTCCCTTGTCTGTGGAGTAAAATCCTGCTACGTAAGATCAGCCTTTCTTTCTATAAACTTTACCAGTTCTCCTCCCCATCTCCAATAACCACCATTAGAATATTTATCAGTATGGGTAAGTCATGTTTTCTCAACTCTGTGTGTGTGTGTGTGTGTGTGTGTGTGTAAGCATACATGTACATATATATCGAGAATGAAATAATCTTGAATAAACTTTACTGTCTAAATCAAAGCAGTGTCTTGGCCAGGTAGATTCAACTTAAAGACAAATCCAATAGCCCCTTACTCCCAACCAACTGTTGTTCTTCTCCCTGAGTCCCTCCTGTATACAGACACCAGTGTTTCATGGGGAGATAATGAGTGAAAACCAAGCCAATGTATGTGCTCGACAGTTATTTTGATTCCTTTTCCCTTGTTTTTGCTGACAAAACTTTGATTACTGAAGAACTGAGTATCAGAAATGGAATTTAACTTTGGTCTTCTCTTCCTCACAAACCAGGTTCCTTAGCTGGTCTGATAGACATCTCTGCTCATTGGATGACAGACTTAAAAGAAGGCATATGCACAGGAGGGTTCTGGTTTAACCATGAACACTGTTGCTGGAACTCTGAACATGTCACCTTTGAAGACAGAGACAAGTGTCCAGAGTGGAATAGTTGGTCCCAACTTATCATCAACACAGATGAGGTAACATACAGTGATGATTTCGGAACCACTAGATTTTATTCTTACATTTATTTCATTTCTGATATTGTACTTGTGGCTATTGTGGAATCTCCCCCTGTATTTCTTTTTATAAAAAGGGGAACACATGCCAGCTGCCTTGTTCTGTGGTTTATGCACAATCCTATTTCCATCTCTTCTGACATGGGCAATCAGTTGTTGCTTATCTTTAAAATGTTGGTTTGTTTAAAATAAGCCCAGCAAGTCTTCTGAGTTGTTAGAATACAATGTAACTGAATATGTCTTTCCCTAATAATTTCAATGGGAATGTCAGAAGCACCTAACAGGAAAGCTATGATTTCTAATGAAGGAGGGAATGGGTTAAAAATGTGTTTAGGGCTAGGGGAGTGGTTCAGTGGCAGAGCATTTTCCTAGCATGTTCAAGATCCTGGGTTTGATCCCAAGCACCACACAAAAAATTTCATTTAAAATCTGTTTATCATATGAACACCAAAAGTGATTGGTTCCCAAGTGTCTCATTAGAATACTAAAACATATAATATATTCCATGTCAAAATAACAGAAACCCGGGCTGGGATTTGTAGCTCAGTGGTAAAGTGCTTGCCTAGCACATGTTAGGCACTGGGTTTGATGCTCAGCACTACATAAAAATAAATAAATAAAATAAAGGTACTATGTCCATCTACAACTAAAAATGTTTCTTTTAAATAACAGAAACCTAGGAATAAAGTTGCTTATAGTCACACTTGCAATCAAATCAACATTTTTATTGTCCTCTAGCATGTGTTTTTTGGTGCACAAGTGATTTTGTTTTTTGGTTCATTTCCTTTCTCTTACCACTTTGTTATGTTAGCTCTCTCCCACTGAAAATGAAAGCACATAAAACAAACTCTCAACTCCCAATTCCACTCTTTCACCAACTACATTGGGTACCATTTTAGCTCTCTACTCCTCCACTCTGTTGGTAAAGTGGGGAAAGCAAGACTAGGACATATGCTTTTACTCTGAAATTTTATTTTTGAAAACGTATCACATATAAATAGAGAGTTAAAGAAGTAGAGAGCAAAATAGTGGTCACTGGAGGCTGGGAAGTGAGAGGGGGTTGGGGAGAGAGAGGTTGGATAATGGGTACCAAAATCCAGTTAGATAGAAGGAATACTCTCTGTCTCCAGCACAGAAGGGTGATTATAGAAACTTCAAGATCTCTGTTTTAGCTCTGTTTCCAGGTCCCACCTCCCTTTACCCTATGTACTGTCTTAGATTAGAAGGACCTGGGTAGACTAGTTTGAGAGGTCCTGGAATTCAGGGTGAGTGAAGGTGGGTGGATGCATGTGTTTCCCTTGCTTTTGATGAGACACTTTTGAAAAAAGTAATTACAAATTTCTAGGAGGTGTTAAAACAGCTGTACAAGGAGATCCTCTATATGCTTCACTCAGCCTCCCTAAATAACACCTTGCATAATGATGACAAATAGTATAAGAAATTGACTTAGGTACAAACCACAGACCTAATTTTACCAGTTTTACACTGACTGATTTGAGATAGAGTTCTTTGTGATTTTATCCCATGTGTAGTTTTGTATAATCACCAGCACAGTGAAAATGTAGGATAGTTCTATGACCACAAGGCTCCCTCATGCTGTCTGTCCCCATATAGTTGTGTGTGTGTGTGTGTGTGTGTGTGTGTGTGTGTGTGTGTGTGTGTGTGTTCCAGTAGTTACTGTCAAACCAGACCTGGAGTTTGAGATTTGCTTGAGCAACAACTGTCTCTGGCTTTCCTTTTTATGAATGAAATCCTAGCCTGGGGAAAGAGTCTTTTAGGTTTTAGGAAACCTTCTCCTGCCAAGAATTTGGCCTCATCTGTGCCTCTGGCCTGTTTGTTACTTTACCTTTCACTCCCTTTTCCTCTTTGTTTTGTACCTCTGGAGTCTCCTTGCTCCGAGGCTACATTTGAAAGGCAAGGAGATACAAATTGTCTGTGCCCTTTGAGGAGCTAAAATCATGGAAAACCTGTATCAAGCTTATAGCATAGAAAAAAAAACACCTGAGCACTCTTTGTCTAGGCCAGTGAATTATGTAAATAATGTTTTGTATTTTGAAAAGTCAAAAAGTCCATTGAGTTTTGTATTCCATGTAATTTGAAAGAATTTCAACTCCTAATATTTCTACCAACAAGCATAACCTCCTAGTGTCCAAAATTGCTTTTTTTGTAAGGCATGACTATTTACCAGTCCATTAATTTTAATGAATCCTTATTTGTGGTCCAAACTAGATTTCTTTTGTAGCACACTTCATTATCAAAGGGAATAGTCTCAAAGGTATATTCTCTCCATTTTAAAAATAGTTAAAGGTGCTGGGGATGTAGCTCAGTGGTAGAACACTTGACTAACGTACATGGCCCTGAGTTCAATGCTGAGTACATAAGAAATATTGCCATTTTATTCTTTGAAATATATGTCATCAAACTTTCTACTCACATACTTGTTGCTGCATCTCTAAAGATGTCATCATTATACATGGGATCTTAAATAAACTAGGTTGGTAAAATGATGGTTACTAGGGACAAAGAGTAGAAGGAGATGGGAAGTAGGCCAAAGGTATGAATTTGTAGTTAGGTGGGATGAATAAATCTAGAGATCTAATATAACATGTAAGGATTATAGTTAATATTGTTGCTGGGTTTAGTGGCACAAGCCTGTAATCCTAGCTACTCAAGAGGCTGAGGCAGGAGTATTGCAAGTTCAAAGCCAGCCTCAGCAATTTAGCAAGACCTTGTCTTAAAAATTTTTTTAAAAAAAGGTTTGAATGTAGGTTGGTGATAGAGCACCCCTGGGTTGAATCCCCCAATGCAATAATAATAATAATAAGTACTGAAATTTTGCTAAAAGATTTTACATGCTATTACCACACATATGAAGAAAGGCTACATGGAAGGTGATGATTATGTATGTCTTTTGATTGTAATAATCATTTCATTATGTAGATGCATATGAAAACATCAGGGCCATGAGTGTAGCTCAGTGGTAGAGCATGTACTTAGCATTTACAAGGCCCTGGGTTCAATCCCCATCACCTAAACAACAAAACAAAATGAAAAACATTATATTGTATACTTTAAACATATGCAGTAAACAAGAAAAATCACCAGGCACAGTGGTGCATGCCTATAATCCCAGAGACTCAGGAGGCAAAGGCAGGAGGACCACAAGGTCAAGGACAGCCTCAGCAAATTAGTAATACCCTGTCACAAAAGAAATAGAAAAGGGCTTAGAAAGTAGCTCAGTAGTGGAACAGTCCTGGGTTTGGTCCCCAGTACCACAAGAAAAAAGGAAGGGAAAAATGGGATTGAGGATAGAAGGAAAACCACCCAAGAATTTTAGTCACTGCAATATCCTGTGAGATTTTGACACCAAGATAGGGAGCCAAAGGTGAGTGTAATGAAATTTTAGAGCTGGACTTCACTTCAAACGTGTAGCCAGGGTTTGGCCATTTCATTAAAAGAACTGATAAAATGCTTGGTAAAATTGATACAGGATCATATATATTAGACTATAAAACCTATCAAAGCACTCACATAAACAGTGAATTTTGGTTCAGGGTTTTGAGTTTGATCTTCTTCCTGTCCATTCCTAAAATCCATTGTGAATTTCCTTTAGGTGTAACAAAGCATCTTAATTTTCAATACCAAGTGACCTGACCGTATCAGTTGTTGCCTTGTTGAACAATCTGGAAAGAAATATTTGAGCAAATTAATATAGGCCTTTTCCTTCTGAACTCTTTCCTGTAAAACCATGACTCAGAAGAGCCCCATACCTCACTGAGGTAATCTCAGCTAAAATGAACTTCTCTCTCTTTTTTTCCCTGTTCTAGGGGGCCTTTGCCTACATAGTCAATTATTTCATGTATGTCCTCTGGGCTCTCCTATTTGCCTTCCTTGCTGTATCTCTTGTCAAGGTGTTTGCCCCTTATGCCTGTGGCTCTGGAATTCCTGAGGTGAGTATGTTGAAATGGCTTATGAATGGTAACAATATTAATCGTTTTGGTTAAAAGCTTTTAGTGTGTGTTCCGGCCTGTACCATAATTTGGTAAATATTAAACAGAGTCAGATCCTGAGGCCTCTTTAAGTTCTCCCTGAAGCCTTCTCCTAGCCTAGGTGACCTGGAAACCAAAAGGTGTTGATTCTGAGCCTCCTGAGGGTTCCTGTTAAACCAGGCTCCTAAACACCTCCCCCAGTCCTTACCCAAGAAGTTCCCAGGGTAAGCCCCAAGATTCTGACCACAAAAAACAGTGGAATTATCAACTCTGGTAGAGCAAAAGAAATAAAACCATTTCCCTATAATTTTCCCCTACCTTTCCCACAATATAATTTAGGCTAAAGGGAATTCCTATTTCTAACTACTTTTGATATAGGTTGCTTTATGGTGACTAAAACCACTGAAATTTTACGTCACCAGAATGACCTTGCCCCTGTCTGTTTCTTGACCAAGTAGTAGTCATTTCTTTGGCAGGAGATCAAGATTATATCTAATCTTTCAGGTTGGTTCCGGAACATTGACCTTGCTCTCTCAGAACATGCCCCTTAGGCCACCATTTTGTAAACTAAGGGAAACATCTATTCCTCCCCATCTGCCTTCTTGAATTTCTCCAGCCATCCATTCTCATATATAGTATGCACTTGTCCAGATGTCACATTGCTCCCATTCTCACCACCACCACCAAAAAAAAGGGGGAGGGGGGACATGAAAGCTTGAAGAATAGTTCCACCTTTCTTGAACTCCTGAGCTCCCTCCCAAACTGGGTTCACTTTAAATCAAGCATTTATACCTCCCTTGTTCAAAAGGTGTAGTTTCTATGATGAGGCCCAGATTTTTGCTTCTTAACCTTGTTTTACTTCCTTAGTCTATGTTCAATCTCTCTGTTTGTCCTGCAGATAAAAACTATCTTGAGTGGTTTCATTATTAGGGGCTATTTGGGTAAGTGGACCCTGGTTATCAAAACCATCACCTTGGTGCTGGCAGTGTCCTCTGGCTTGAGCCTGGGCAAAGAGGGCCCCCTAGTGCACGTGGCTTGCTGCTGTGGGAACATCCTTTGCCACTGCTTCAACAAATACAGGAAGAATGAAGCCAAACGCAGAGAGGTAATGAAAAATGGCCTTAATAGTTACTTTTTACATGAGCACTTAAGTGATACAGTATTATGAATGCAAATCTGGGAATTCTTCCATAGTGAATGCAAACACCCTTTGACTCAGAAAGTTCACTTCTAGGAATTTATCCTACAGGCATCCTAGCATGTGTGTTCACACAGGTTTTTGGGGATAGTCAGTACACTGTTTATCGAAATAGTGAAAATCCGAAGCAACCAAAGTGTCCATCAAGAAGGGACTAATCCAATAAACAATATCCTGCCTGTACAATAGAATATTATGCAACCCTTAAAAAGAATGAGGTAGTCCTACATATGATATTCTGGTGATAGAATAATATTAAATTTTAAAAGTCAGTTCGTGACTGATAATGCATATTGTAATTCAGGTAACATTTCAAAAATGTTTATATCTATGAACTTACTATGTCTGGAAAATGGGTTTACCCCAAGTTGTTAAAAATGTCTACTTCTGGTGAGTTGGCCAGTGAGCTGGTAGGGAAAGAGAAGTAATGACTTTAACTTTTTATTATATATAATCCTATGCAAGCATATGTTGCTTCTTTACAAAAGGAGTTACAAATTTTTTTAACAGATTTTTAAAGAAGATTTTGGGGGCGGGTACTGGGGATTGAACTCAGGGGCACTCAACCACTGAGGCACGTCCCCAGCCCTATTTTGTATTTTATTTAGAGAGAGAGTCTCACTGAGTTGCTAAGTACCTCGCCATTGCTGAGGCTGGCTCTGAACTCACGATCCTTCTGCCTCAGCCTCCCAAGCTGCTGGGATTATAGGCATGTGTTGTTGCACCTGTCTGAAGAAGTTTTCTATTCCCTTTTCCCTCCTTGGTATTGTGGATTGAACCCAGGTGTCCTCTTATCCTCAGACATTTTTATTTTTTATTTTGAAATAGCTTCATGCTAAGTTGAGGGTCTTACTGAGTTGCTGAGGCTGGCCTCAAACTTGAGATCCTCCTTCCTCAGCCTCTATGCACCACTGCACCTGGCAGAACTTGTTTATTTCCTATGCAAGAGTAAATATAAATGCAGTGTGCATTTCAGGTGTCAACATTTTTATCTTTATTTCTACCTAAGGGCACACTTGACTTGGTTTCTCTCTGGATTAGACCTCACTCTGCCTCCTGCCTCAGCTCTGCTGAACACCCACCCCCACCAGGCTAAATTAGCATCGCTGTAGTCGTTCTCAAATTTATTTAGTTCTTAATGTATGCTCTTTTGAAGAGGAACATTTTTTAAATGTTCCAAGCCATTGGTTCCTTTTTTGTCCTGCTATAATTAAGGACCTAAGGAAATAATGGTTCTAGCTTATTTTCCTTGAATTACAAAGCAAGCACATGTAATGGATCAAAGATCAAGGTGATTTCATTAAGAAAGATGCTTCACAAATCTGGAATCTAGTGATTTCTTCTGAAAACAAAAGAAAACAAATAGGTTTTCAAAAACAAAACAAAAAAAAAGGTTAACCACAAGACCTAGAAGGAAACTGAAAGGCACTGAGGTTTCAAATACGGAATAAATTTTGATAGTTCAAGGGAGAAAGTTCCTGATACACATAGAAAGGAGAGGAAAAATAGCAGAAGTTACATGGGCTTATGTAGTAGACTGTTTATGTATGTGTTATGTGGTAGAGGGACACAAAGGCCATGTTAAAACGGGGAGGTTGTTAAACAGAGATAATATACAATGGAAGCAACAGAGTTGAAGGGAAAAAAACATTTTAACAGGCAAGAATAAAGTGTGGATTGTTGCTGGTTTTCCATTGGTGGAGATGAGTTTGAAACTATAGATTGCTGGTTACTTTCCATCCAGAAAATTGTCATTTTTGCTCAAATACTCCCCTATATTATGAAAGGGAAATTTGATTTGCCTGTTTCTCTGTACAGATGCCAAATATTTCTCTGAGTAGATTCATGGATACTTGGATCTCAAATTTACTTCCTACTGCTCATTTAGACTATCCAGTTATCTTTTCCTATTGTTCTTACCATCGGTGGTACCCTTTTGTGGCCAGTGGCCTTGGCCAAGTGGGTAGATGGCTGAGATTAAAACCGATTTGAGAAGGATGGGCATAGATTGATTTTACCTTGCAGTAGATAATTAAAGCAGCAGCCAACTCAATCCTTCTTCTCCACCCCAATTCATCCTAAAACACAGTGAAATCCTCTGTCTCAAGTTGCATGTTGGCTGTCTGAAATGAAAAGCCATTTTAGCTATGAATTCCCTTTCTCCCCCAATTAGCTCTTTCTCCACAGCAACTAGAATCCAAGGGAAGGACTCTGCCTTTCTACGGAACTATGCTTTGTTTGCCATCATCAGTGTTTGTCTTGTACATTTTACATGCTCACACACGCCTACACACAGAGGTGACACTCTCTAAATATCACTCATTCTCTTTCCCTCTAACAGCTTCTTCTTCTCCTCCTTAGCCCCTTTCCTTGCTGTGCCTAAACATATTTAGCATTTTCTCTTCCTTTAAAAATCGAGCTGCCTTCCTATTTCTGTTTCTAAAGGTTAATGGGCATAGAGTAGGGCACACAATATGGAAAGCTAAATGTCTGTTGTATAAATAATGCAGCTTCAGAAGAGCTGTGAGCCAATTGTAATTTCAGTTTTCTATCATTAGAGCCTTCTTTAACATCTCATTTGAAAAACATTCCTTTGCAAAGTGCTATGTAAACATCAGTGTAAGTACTTCATTTTAGGTGGGGAATAAATACATCAGTTACTGAATTGGGTGTATTGCAGATGGAGGGCATAACTTAGAACACAGCCCATATCCAAATTAATCACAAATGGAAGGCCCTTTGTCCTGCATAAGTATGGGAACCACGTATGTGTGTTCAACATCCAGAAATAGTGGTTGCTCTCAAAGTAAATAGAAATTGAACTACATTTTTGAGGATATGGAGCATGTACAGGATTTTTTTTAAAGAAAATGTGTGGTAACAACATTCCTTTAAAAATATGATTGAACATGGAAAAGCAGCATTATTTTATTGCTAATTTTGAGTTTTGGATTGTAGGTCTTGTCAGCTGCAGCTGCTGCTGGTGTATCTGTAGCTTTTGGGGCACCTATCGGAGGAGTGTTATTCAGTCTGGAAGAGGTAATGATTTTTTTTTTGGTACTGAGCATTGAACCCAGGGGTGCTTAACCATTGATCCACATCCCCAGGCCCATTTTTATTTATTTATTTTTATTTTGAGACAAAATATTAATTTTTTAAATTAAAGTTGCTGACGCTCACTTTGAACTTGAGGTCTTCTTGCCTCAACCTCCCAAATCCCTGGGTTTACAGGCATGTGCCACTGCACCTGACATGTGCATGGTTGTGTGTCAGGATTTTGGCCAATATCTAAAAATGTTGCAGTCCCTGAGTGCATGGCCCAACTCAGTGATTTACTATGTGACCAGAAATCCCTGGGCAGTTGTCATCCTCCACTCTAATGCCAGCAGCACCAACTTTTCCCCTGAAATCATTTCTCTGTGTATTGACCAAGTTTGCTTTCTCACCTCCTCTCTTATAGGTCAGCTACTATTTTCCCCTCAAAACTTTGTGGCGTTCATTCTTTGCTGCCCTGGTGGCAGCATTTACTCTACGCTCCATCAATCCGTTTGGGAATAGCCGCCTAGTTCTGTTTTATGTGGAGTTTCACACCCCATGGCATCTCTTTGAGCTTGTACCATTCATTCTGCTGGGCATATTTGGTGGTCTGTGGGGAGCTCTGTTTATCCGCACAAACATTGCCTGGTGTCGGAAGCGTAAGACCACTCAGTTGGGCAAGTATCCCGTCATAGAGGTACTCATCGTGACAGCCATCACTGCCATCCTGGCTTTCCCCAATGAATATACCCGAATGAGTACAAGTGAGCTCATTTCTGAGCTGTTCAATGACTGTGGCCTTCTGGACTCCTCCAAGCTGTGTGATTATGAGAACCGTTTTAACACAAGCAAGGGTGGTGAACTGCCTGACAGACCGGCTGGCGTGGGAGTCTACAGTGCCATGTGGCAGCTGGCTTTGACACTCATCCTGAAAATTGTCATTACTATATTCACCTTTGGCATGAAGGTGAGGAATTCTTTTGGCACTTAGTGGCTGTGTGTGTAGCTGTGGGTTTTGAGGGCAAAGCCAAGGTATCTTCCAGTTACAATAGTTCATGTGGTAATTACCCTATCCCCAAAGCTATTTTACCCCGACTTGTTCCCATAACTTCCTAGATAACTTTACCTCTCTCTTTCAAGTTGTCCAAGCTTATTTTGAGACCAAATGCAAACCTTAGTGATGAGATTGTGGGAAGACATGTCTTTTCCTTTTCTGCGGGAAGCAATTTTCTCCTCAAAAAGAATGGCGAAGTGCCTGGAGAACCAAAAAACAATATTTGTCCTGTATGGTATTAATTCTTACAGGGTGGCTTTAGAGGTTATTCATAAAGTATATTCTCTGAACCCCATTAAGTTGATGGTACTCAACCATTTTGGCTGTTTCAAAGAGCAATTTCATGTTTCAGCCCAATATATATAACTACTTTTGTTGCTTTTTACACTTGGAATCAAGGCTACTACTCAACAACTGGGATCCATTTCGCAAGTTAATATAATTCTGAAACTATTAAAAGCAGACATCGGCATGTTTTCCCTGAACTGAAAAAAGTGGAGGCCTTAGCAGGAGAAAGTAGGATAGTGGTTGTCAGATTCTGGGAAGGGGAATAGGGAGGAAGAGATTGAGAAGAGTTGGCTAACTGGTATACAATAAAATTGGATAGCAGGGATACATTCTAGTGTTGTATAGCTCACTAGGGTGACAACAGTTGATGACAATTTGTTGCATATTTCAAAACAGAAGAGAGGATTTGAATGTTCTCAACACAAAGAAGTGATAAATGTTCAAGCTGATGGATATAATAATTACCCTGATCTAATCATTATACATTGTATACATGTTTTAAAATATCACACTGGACCCAATAATATACATAATTATTATGTGTTAATTTATTTTTTAAAAAAAGAAAACTCAGGCTGGCATGTTTTATTTTCAATACCTATAATCATTTCTATGTTTCAGAAGAAACTAGAAAGGAAATTTTGTTAAGATATTTCCTCCTCCTCACTAGGATTTTACTTGTTTCTTCTCTTTAGCACCCTACTACCAGAGTATTTCCCTCTATCCTCTGGGGAAACAGAGATTCAAACCAGAAAATAAGGGACAGCAACATAGTTTCAGCAACACTACTTTCTTAGACATCATCTAACCATCTGTGCCCCTCAACACAGAAATAGGATGGAGGCTCTGAAAAGTTTTGCAGTGTCTCTTCAGTTAAATAAAACAATGAAACCATGGGGTGAAAATTAGAGGGAATTTGTAGGCCCTCAGAACACCAGATTCAAATGCATTCCAAAATCAAATGCAGACTATTTTAAAACAATCTGCTGTTTTTATTATCCTTGACATAATTTCCCTCTATTTATTAATAATTTATTACAGCATCCTAGAAAAAGCAGGAAGATAGATGAAGTATCCTTTTTTTGCTTAAGCATGCAACCATAGCCATTTGCTTATTTAAAATGTTTGTTTAATATTTCTTTATGCTGTTGCAAAACAATCAAACCTCATATACCATCCTTTTTGTGTGCACAGTGGGTTAGGATTCAATGTATGAGCATGGTTGTGAGCATTCCCTTTAGATCCAAGCACCAGTATTTACTAAATCCTGACCTTGGATTAGTTTCTTGACCTTTCTGATCCTTAGGTTCTTGGTCATTTGGGAATAATAATGCCTACCTCCTGGGGTTGTTATGAAGAATCTACAAAATCTTACATGTAGAGCATTCAGCATAGACCACTGTAGTCAGAAATTGTAATTGATAAGTATTCAAACTGGGGAAAATGTCTGCATATATAAGAAACTCCATCTATTTTCCTTTTTCTTTGGGAAAGGCCTAATTTCTGCCTCCAGTTCTGTGTTGGTCTGGAGAGTTCAGGCTCTTGCCTGATGGACCCCGAATCAGGGTAAGCTTCTTTGCAGTCATCCTTGCCTGCACGTCCCAGAGAACCTCTAGTCCCTATAGTGTTACACAAATCTTTACAGCCACTTGCTAGCATAGTGCATAGTTAAATTGTCAATGGCCTGTTTGCTTCGCAGAGGGTCAGTCCTCCATCCCTTACCGTATGCCAAGCAGTTGCATCATTTGTCACTAACCATCTCTTGCTTTCTCTTTGCAGATCCCTTCTGGCCTCTTTATCCCTAGCATGGCTGTTGGGGCTATAGCAGGTCGGCTTTTAGGAGTAGGAATGGAACAACTGGCTTATTACCACCATGACTGGACAATCTTTAATAGTTGGTGTAGTCAGGGAGCTGATTGCATCACCCCTGGTCTTTATGCGATGGTTGGGGCTGCTGCCTGCTTAGGTGAGTAGGGTTTACAATGATTTCAAAGAAGTTGCTACCCAGCTATCCAGCTGATATACAAAAGAAGAGTGATATTAAGCACAGACTGCAGAATTTTATAAACGATCATCCATTTCCTAATGTGTTTGCTATTTTTCAAGAGCTTTATGAGAGCTAATTCTACTCTCTCCCACTGGGAAAATAATCAGAAATTTAGACAAAGAGGGCTACACAAGAATACGCATCACAGTATTATTTATGAGATGAAACATTTCCAGTCAACCTGACTTTGCACAGTAAAGAATTGATAAAATAAATTATGGTTCATCCATATGTCACTATATTACACAGCTCTTAAATATGATGTTAACATGTTCAAATCTTTAAATATGATTTAAATAAATTTGTAATAATATGTGAAATATTCCCCACATAAAGAAGGGGAAAAGCATGGTGGATATTTATACAACTTGAAAATGTCCTCTAAAAATTTACTCTGCTTATTAATAGGCAGTGAGCTTGTGAATAATGACTTTGTTCCATATTTTCTGAATTTTCTACAATGGCATGTATTACTTTTATAATTAGGGAAAGGAAGCACCAAATGAAAAAAAATATACAAGAAGGTATGTTATATTTCTGTGGATGTTATTTTGAAAAATCTGAGTCAGATTGATTATAATATTACTAGAGTCTCAGGGTCTGTGTAGTTATAGGTAGAACTCCATTCTAGCATTAGTTCTGGTAAGTAGCTTTTCCTGTTTGGAGCCTGTGACAGACCAATAATTGGAATGAATCCTGTGCTTTGTGTCCCTTCAATAGCCTGTGTCTATTTCTTTGCAGGGGGTGTGACTCGGATGACTGTTTCTCTTGTTGTCATAATGTTTGAACTGACTGGCGGCTTGGAATATATTGTGCCTCTGATGGCTGCAGCCATGACAAGCAAGTGGGTGGCAGATGCACTTGGGCGGGAGGGCATTTATGATGCCCATATCCGTCTCAACGGATACCCCTTTCTTGAAGCCAAAGAAGAGTTTGCTCATAAGACCCTGGCAATGGATGTGATGAAACCCCGGAGAAATGATCCTTTGTTGACTGTCCTGACTCAGGACAGTATGACTGTGGAAGATGTAGAAACCATAATCAGTGAAACCACTTACAGTGGCTTCCCAGTGGTGGTGTCCCGGGAGTCTCAAAGACTTGTAGGCTTTGTCCTCCGAAGAGATCTCATTATTTCAATTGGTAAGTATCTTAGAGAGGAGATCATAGAATCTACTATGTAACTCAATAAATCAGCACAAAATGGGGGAGGACAGGGAATAGGGGACTGGTTAGGGGCCAGAATGATTGAACTAGCACTCCTGTTTTCAACTTTCCCCCTTTTCTGTTCAAATAGAAAATGCTCGGAAGAAACAGGATGGAGTTGTGAGCACTTCCATCATTTATTTCACTGAGCATTCTCCTCCAATGCCACCATACACTCCACCTACCCTGAAGCTTCGGAACATCCTGGATCTCAGCCCCTTCACTGTGACTGACCTGACACCCATGGAGATAGTAGTGGATATCTTCCGCAAGCTGGGATTGCGACAGTGCCTGGTTACACACAATGGGTAAGAACTCTTGGGCGAAGACAAATTGCTTTGTGGGAAGAAAGAGAATATGGAGACCGAAAAATAAAAAGAAGAATCCAGTGTAAATGAACATTAGTAGTACATTTTGAAGCTCTGAGATAAAGGTAGATATGTTACCTTGATCATCATAATTAGTAGAAAAGGAATTTGGGGAAGAGAATGTATTTGAAAGTTGTTAGATGCATATTATCAATAACTGAGTTCCTCGCCTACAAAGGAAATAGCTGTGTTCTCATGCAGCACTGAAATTGTAATGGTATCAGGTAGGATATGTATACAACAAGAGTTCCCCTTATCCTCAGGGATACCTTCCATGACCACCATCAGATGCCTGAATCTGCAAATAGTACTGAACCCTATATAAAACTCTTTTTTTTCCTACCAGGTCCCATGGTGCATGCCTGTAACCTCAGCAACTGGGGAGACTAAGGCAGGAGTTCACAAATTTGAGACTAGCCTCACCAACTGAGCAAGACTCTGTCTCAAAATAAAAAAAAATAAAAACAAAAAAGGTCTGAGATGTAGCTCAGGGGTAGAGTTCCTCTGGATTTAATTGCCAGTACCCTACCCCTGAAAAAAGACTATATTTTTCCCTATACCTATGATAAAGTTCAAATTATAAATCGGGCATAGTAAGAGATAATAACAATAAATATGGCACTGCGTTGTTTTCGGACCATGGTTGACCATGGGTAACTGAAACCACAATTTAAAGGAGTCTATTGTATTTGGCCCTTACAATCCTTTGTTCTTATTATTTGAGGACAAGAAAACCAAGTTTCAGTGAGGTCTAACGATTTACATGAAGGTCCCCAGTTAATAAACAATAGAGGTAGCTTGAAACACAAATCTTCTGACTCCAAAGTCCATGGCTCTTTCCTTCCCAGGATATTTCTTGTCCAGTAAAGGAAGTCCTGCAGTTTTTACTGGAAAAGAGAGGCGGGAGAGGAGAAGGGTGGAGTTTTTTTCTGAACATTTTTCTGCTGCATTCATCCAGCCGCTACATAAGAATTTCCCCCTCCTTTAATTTTTTTTTTTTTTTTGTGTGTGTGTGGTGTTGGGGATCAAATCCATGGCCTTGTACATGCAAGTGTTCTATCACTGAACTATATCCCCAGCCTTTTTTATTTTGACTTTTGAAATACGGTCTCACTAAATTTCTGAGGCTGACCTCAATCTTGTGATCCTTTTGCATCAGCCTCCTGAGTAGCTGGGGGGGTTACATGTGTGCATCATCATGCCTGGCTGCTCCCTCCTCTAAAATTTTCAAGTGCCATATCTGATGTCTAGCAGAATCTAAATCAGTAAGGGGGCTCTCCTTAACTGGTTCATTCAACAGTTACTGAATCCCTACTTCATGTAAGAAGGTATTATGGATTCTGTGGAGATACAAAAATAAATAATACCCTTCTCTGTCCTCAAGGAGTCTGCAGTGTTACAGAGGAATGCAGGATACACAAGTGGTTATAGGAAAGTAGCAAAGAGGGCAGCTATTATAGAAGAGGCCTGCACAAAACATGCTGTTGCTGGGAGCAGAACAGTTATTACTGGTTTATAGGATCAGGAAAGTTTCTGGAAGAGGAACATTTGGACTGGGTTGCAGTAAGTAAGAAATATTCATATATTTAGAGAATATATAGAGCAGAGGAAATTGCAGGACCTGAGACCCAGATGTAGAAGTTCTCGCATATATTTAGGGACTTGTACATCGTCCTGTTTGCCTGGAACATGCATCCAACTCCTGTTGTCTCAATATTCTGGAAGTACAGATAGTGTTTAAAGGCAAAGTTGAAAAAGACTGGGGAGGACAAGTGTCATCTTTTGGGAATGTTGTTTTAACTGTAGATTTACTTTTGTTTTGTCGAATTGTGTTTGTCTTTTAGGCGTTTGCTTGGAATCATTACCAAAAAGGATGTGTTAAAGCATATAGCACAGATGGCGAATCAAGATCCTGATTCCATTCTCTTCAACTAGAATCATGGGGTTGTTCTGGATATAAAACAGGAAGGACATTGCAGACCATGGATATATTTTATTAACTGGGTACCCAAAACACATTTCCCATATTTGGATGGTGAAGTCATATTAGTGTGTTGTCTCTTTCCTACAAGTTAACCAGTTGCACTACATAATCTCTGGAAATTAATCTTCTCTTTAGGAGAAAATACAGTTAGGCTTCTGTGATACTGCATTAGGAAGATTTCATGAAAGAGTAAACAAGATTGCTATGGTTTAATTATATTTGTTTTTTTAAAAATATTTTTTTAATTTAAAAGTAATCGTTAGCCAATATGCAATCACTGAAAACTATGCAAGAAAAATTCCAACCGTCCTGACTTATAGCCTGCAGGAAACTCATGAAAAAGTTACTTTTGGTGGATCTAACTGTCATTGGTGGAAGATGAAGTGTAAACTAAGGGGCTTTGCTTTTCAAACCACCGAAAGGAAAGCCAGAAGGAAAATAGTAATGGTATTCTCTAGACTGTGAAGATTCAGTTCAAATGTTATTCTTGTTCCTGTTACAATATTTAGCATTATTAGTTTGTTCTATGTTTATGTATGTTAATTTTAATTTCTGATTATAAGACAATGCTGCTTTAGTTAATCTCCTCTAAATGAATTGAGAGAGGTTGACTTTTATAGCTTGCTTGTTCCTGGTACTCTTTTGAAGTGCACAAAGATAAGTTATAGAGCTTTCTCCTTGTCTGCAAAAAAAAAAAAAAATGGTAATTTTCCAGATGGTATCTGTTAGCTAGCAGACAAGGACTTTGCCATGAATTTGTAGCAACGAATGATTTCTTCCAGCTTCCTTGAAATGAATGATGAGTAAAGTTCTAAGCAAAGTCAAAGACTAGGAATTTCACATTTTTGTGAGGTCCTAATTGAAACCCTTACCAGATGCCACCTCCACGAATGATGGTGCTTTAGGCTTCTGGAATATGTAAGAACAGTAAAGGGAACTAAGTCTGGACTGCATACTGGTAAACCAGGGAAGATTCAGAGCTGCATCAACATCCTCATGCATTCCTTTGTAAAGACCACCAGGATTGAAATAACTGACACTCATGCTCCTCCCAGTGTGAAGTACTCATAACAGGCCAGCTGTCCCCATGAGCATGGATTAGGCTTGGGATACTTTCAAATATATTCAAAGCTTTGGAACAGAATGGGCAACTGTGACTCCCTTGGGGGTCCTTAAAATTCCAAAAGGCAAATCCATCCTAAGACCCAGGGGTGTGGACAAGACCTGGTGACACCAAAGGTGCTTGTATCCAATTGAAAAGGTGCCTGTCTCAATTTCCTACCACACTTAGAACAGTTTTAAACAATTTACACTATAGGGACACCTGGTGGAATTAAAGAGCCACCACCATCATTCCAACCACTATTTCTTTTTCTATATAGTTTTACCCACGTGCAATTACTCCCTTTCCATTCTGTTCCCCTTCTTACTCTTCAGTACTGAATCCTCCCTTTGGGGTCGAGCACTATGGCTGGTCAATCATTCCTAATAACAATAACTTCTAGGGCTAGGTAAATGGTAAACCAAGGCTCAGCAATCTTATGACACATGGACTAGAGGCGATACACAGCCCTTTTCTTTGCCATGTGGCCCAGTTGCTGCCGCCATGTTTCTGTTTCTGCACCAGATGCCCATGTCACAGTGAGACTGCATTTTTTTTAAGTCTTTTCCCAGCACTTCCTCCCATCCTTCTAGCCCAGAATCAGCAATCACTCAGCACATTCCCCTAGACCCAATCCCCAGTCACCTCAGTGTACCTCATTTTAAAAGTTGTTGATTCCTGAGTCTAGGACTTTTTACCCCTACTTCTTATCTTTCCAAGATCTGAAATTCTTTTATTGCTCAGAGCTATGTAGCCAAGGCTTGTTCTGATTTTTATCTTTAAAAATATAAAGGCAACCACCAGAGTTTATCCTTTTAAGTATATCACTCTAGCATTTTAATGAAAAAGAAAAAAAAAAAAACATGCTCCAGGGTACATTGTTATCATAGTCATGGCTCAATAGCTTTATGTCCTTTGGTCCCTTCCATGCCACTGTTTCTTTCCTGTGAGATGACTCTTTGCCTGACCACCCTGTATATTGTGCAGAGAACAAAGTTATTATGTGTATATTTCTGGTTGAATATGTGTCTCATTAGCTGTCGTTGCCCACTAAAGTTTGCAAAATGGGAAACATGACTATTTCTGGTGGCAAGGGGAGGTTTGGTCGTATTTTAACATGGAGCAGTGACATGGAGGGTGTCTTGTTTGCCTTTGTTTCTTCTACGCTCTGTTCTTCATTTTTAGATAGATGAGCCAGTGTTAAGGTGCTAATTCAGAGAATAAATTCAAGAAATCAGATAACACTGTGCCAAGGTATACTTTAGATGCTAAGCACCGATTGGCCCTCCAGAGAATGACAATGTCCCTTTGATACCTCATTCCTGATAAATCTCATTCATTAACCTCAGTTTCTCAGGAATCCTTGTAGCTCATACTCTAGAAGTAGCTATAATGCATGGTGTCCAGTATATGTCCAATCCTAGGGTTTGGCTCAAAGTTTGGCTAATTGTGGCTAAAGAGCTATACAAAACTACTAGCTCAGCACCATGACACTCAAGAGTTTCTTGTCTTGAGGTAAAGGAAAATGTTCTTCCTGCCAATGCCATTTCAGCAGTTAGACATACTTAACCAGAAAAACAAAGCCAGTATATGGAGGTCTGTCAGTAGCCTCAGGGGGTCACCTCAGTGGCAAAAGACTAGATTATTTGTAATTTTTAAAATGAATGAATTGAGGCTAGTCTATTTGGGATTAGAAAATACCTGCTACAAGGGAAGAGTTTACAAAGGAATACTAGTAAGTGCTTCAGCTGAGTTCGGATTTTCCAGGGACAGATGTCTGGTAGCCATCCAGCCATGAAAAGAGTGAGAGTTCATAGATTTGTAAAAACCTAATTCTTTTTTTTTTTTGTATCTTCAGCTCTCCAATTTAAATAATTTAAGGAAGCTGAAAAAAAATAGTGCATGAGGAGTTAAACCAAAGACGAGAAGTAGGGGACTGATTATACAAAATAATGGCTATGGTAAAGAATATTTCTCTTTTGTTGTTTAATTAGAAACGAGTTGCAATGCTCTCCTCTTTCTCTGGCCCCAGCATCCTGGCTTAGCCCTGCTATAGAGCAGAGATGATATGATCCACAAATCTGGTGGATTATCTGACATTGACTATACTTTGAATTTGCAAGCTGGTAGAGGAAATGATTAATTTTCTGGTTGAACTTCAAAACAAATCGCTTTGACACCCAAGGCTAAATGTAAATCCTTTACAGGAAGAGTGAGAATCCTTTTTTTAAAAAAAGAAATAAACAAATTTCTCTTGGGAGGCTAAGGCCAGAGAATCACAACTTCAAGGCTGGCTAGGGCAACTTAGCCAGACCCCGAGACAAAAGAAATTTTAAAAAGAGCCAGGGATATGGCTCAGTAATAGAGTGCTTCTCTAGCATGTGTAAGGCCTCAGGTTCAACCTTCAGTACACCTCCCTCCCCAGAAAAAATACTCTATGTGAGCCGAATTAAAATGTTCTAAAACATTTTTTTTTTTAATCACCTCTGGGATTACCTGGATTTCTTTGGGGGAAGGATTTGAAAGTGAGGACAATAGAAAAGTCTGGGTGAGAAAGTATATGAACTATGTAAGAAGTAAAGGGAACTAAGTAAGAAGGTAGAAGAAAGGCATTCCCATACCCCATGCCATGCATCCTGGCATTGGGATGAACAGAAAGTGCTTGATCATATACTTCATGGAGATACAAAGTCAAGCAATCCCCCGAAGCTGTGCTTTCTAAGCAAACTAGAGGTTCAAAGTCATTTTGGCTCAAGGGCCTACCTTCAGAGAGGCCTCTCCAGGACATTTGTACCATCTTAATGATAAACTTTCTTTACATTTATATTTTAGCTCCCTATTCTGTGTGTATTATATATATTGAAAATAAAGAGATGAGAGTTCCTCAGATGAAAGCTCAGGAGCTGTGTAAATTTGAAGTTCAGTCAGTGCAAGGGACCTTGAGTGATGGCCGGAATTTGCTCTGCTTCAGTTTCAGTTGTTTGCTCTAAGGAGAGACGTTCTGGGAAAAGTGAGTGGGTGTTAGCAACTTGAAGTTACACCTCCAGCATTTGCCGGCTACATTCTCATTTCTAAACATCTGGATCTGGGCAAAGTTTTGAAGAGATATAGTCAATGGAAGTAGCTTTTCCACGGTGTAATCTGATTTTGCCAAATCACCCAAGAAAGGAAGGAAGGAAGGAAGGAATGTGCAGAGTTTGCTTTTCCATGATGGGACCTATCAGATCACCCAACCCAATCTTACAGTCATAGATTCCTACCTCTAAGTTCCTACCAAAGGCCTCCAAAGGTGTGACACTCATTGAATGAATGCTTTGCCTAGAGTTTGGCTTTTTAAGGAGAAATGGTATATGATGATAGAAAAATGAGAGTTTACAAAAAACAATCCCTGCCTCTCTCCCTCTCCCTCCTTTTCTCTCTTCTGTCTATCCCTCCATCATGCCTTGAATTCAAATTTCTATCCATTTTGACAAGTAAATTGTTTTGAATGTGGGCATTGGAAGGGAGAGAAAGGATGATTCTAAGAACAGAACATGGAAGCTTCTCCTAAATTGATGGGGCCGAGGGCACTTTGCTCCATTGGGGCTAAAGCCACAGACACTCGTCAGGAAGGCTAAGGGCTTTAGCACCTCCAGGCAGACCCATGAAGTATTCATTGCTAAACCTCATTGTTTCTACTAGTCTACATCTGTTGGAGTTCATGGACAGTCTAGGATTTGGTGAGGGAAATGCCAACTGGCAAAATGGGGAAGAAGGCAGGGCCTGTGATGATTTTTCTAGGGTGGGAATATTCAGCCTCACTATCATATTGAGGGTACCTCAGATTACATGATCCTTCCAGAATGCGCCTTTTCCTTCTTCCATTTCATGTTGTCCCCTCTTTGTACTCCCTTTCTTCCCCCATCAACCTGCCTTTTTAGTACTCAGCTTTTTATATAAGTATTTACTTTTTTATTATGTATTTGGTCCATTGGGACTGTATAATGATTATGAATTTATTCCATTCATGATAAAATATGTTTAATATTTTGTTTTCTTAAACTATCTTTAGAAGCTATGCTGCTAACCAGGTACAGGCCAGAAAGGCAATGGGCCCAACAGCATCTTGGTCATGTCACCTAAGGGTGACAACAATGTCATGATGGTGAATCTTCTTCATTTGACCAAGACCAGCCTCCTGCTCATACCTCTGCCCATTCATTTCTGGCTATGGGAAGTATACCAGCCATTGGGTGAGCCACTAAGGCCAGGAGGGTCAGAGGGGCTGGGTTCCAGCCCACGGGCCACTATGTGAATATCTCTGTAATAAGCTCATTTGTAGTGCTGGCTCCAAGTGAAGTAGCCAAAGAAAACCTGTCTGGAAGTTTTAATTCCTGAGTGTTGGTCAAAGTTCAGCTGAAGCTAATGTATAGACATCAGCACTAGCTTGGCATCCCGAAGCTAGCTTCAACCAAAGCCTATGGAGCCTGTTGCCAGGGGAAGCTTGGTGCTGAGCTG